AATTTACCGTTTTTAACTAATTGATAACAACAATTAAAGTTGGCGCTAACAGCAATCTTCGGTGCAACTCTAGCTTGAATAGATATATCATCCAACATATCGGGTGAATTCATTTTAACGATGCGAAATGCAAAGAAATTCAAATTAACATCTGCTCCGCTATCAGTAGGCCAAGCTTTGCTTTCATTAACTTAATAATTTCTAATTCATATTCAGTGTTGATCTTCGAAGCCAACGGATGATTAGAATATCGAAATTTAAGGAGCGGCGCTACAACGTCGGGCCAAGGGACTGGAGAGTTCTTAAACAAAATTTATTAAAAGCGAAAAAACTTGAAAAAATATTAACTGTAGTATTAATAAGGGCAACTCTAAGCGATCATCTTCATTGTGCAAAAGTTCTATGCAAGCTACAGACCTTTCTAACCAACAGCTAAACGAGTTCCGGCTAGCTACAAGTAAAGAGATGTAACACTTAATAGCTGTAACTGGCGACTGGCTCTTCTCTTGATATATAGGTAAAAGGAGGTCATTGATTAAACTTTTTAAATTGTCTAAGTAGACCCTTCGGAGAATACATTTAGCAGTTTCGTCTATTCAATCCTAAAAATATTTAACATGTATTAGTTCATTTTAATTGAGTTTATTAAGGATGTATGTAAATGAAAGCACACAGTTTCACATGTGTGCAATGAAATGGTGTAGTGAAAACAGTGCAGTTTTGGATGACAACAATCGAGTTACAGTAAATATAAAAGGGTACAGATTCCTTGTGACTGATTTCCAAAATTTGGACATTAAGCACAGCTTCACCAAATTTTTGCGCATAAACAAGAGGTAAAAAATCCGTGGGACAGAATATTAACAACATGTCAGTACGCACCACACTTCGCTTAGGGTAAATAAAAAACTACTTCTTCTGTTTAATTTAACAAACCACGTGACTTGCTTGCAAATAATTGCCCAAAGTAATTCTCCTAAATTGTACGTTTTCTTTAATACAATTAAGTCCTGTAAAGGATTAACCACTCTTAGTTTGTTAAAATTTCTTTTCGACGCCTTACATCCCTAAAATAGGTTTGGATAATATATGGGATGCATTTCTGTGACCATTTCAATTACTTACGAATGCATAAATTCTATTTCCTCGGAGACTTGCATTACTTTTGTGCAAAATTCTAAGCCAATATCTGGCCAGTCATCGGAATATTGCAATGCTCGAGTCTTCTGCGTACTCCACTCCGTTATATAAGGCATTATATTTGGATGGGTGTTATATACAATTGGTACAAATACTTTTAACCATTGCAAGAAATTAAAAGGTTTCGTATCGTGTGGTATTAAACTCATAAGTTTACGGAGTTCATGTTCATTAAGCTGTGACATGAGAGAGCTGGCGTGATGTTTCCATATCAAATATGCTAAAGGCATTTCCGTCTTAAACAACCCAGTTGTATATTAAATAAGATTCGGATGATGTACAAATTTCAACCAGACGCTATTAACTTTATAAGGATCAATAATAATCAGTGTTTTTAAACGATGCAATTGTTCAATAATTTCTACAATATATTGTTCATCGAGCTAAAAAAAATTAGAAAATTTTTAGTAAATGCTTAAGGTTTGTTTTCGATTAGCATTGCACAACTTTACGTAGAGTTTTTCAAGCGCGCATTTTCTCATTTTCATCATTTCACTTTCTAGCCTTTTACCTTTTTTAACATTTCGCAACCATATGTGAAGTTGTTGTCCACTAACACACAAAAAACAGAAGGACAGAAAGCAAGTGGCACGCAACGCTGAACTTGCAATTTGTAACAACGTATATGTTCACAAGCACCAAAGAGCGTCTAATTGCAGCAGCGCAATTAGTGATTATGGTAGTCATTACTTAAGCATTATTAGAAGGACTTGAGATAGACCCCTCTTTTCTCATATGGAGCGATTTTGAATGACTTTCTGAATCGATATCTTTGTGTATAGCCATCAATTTTTGATATTTCGATTAAATCGGATACATCGCCGCGTTTTGGGGCGATGACGAGCGCGATTGGTAATGAATCAAAACGATTGGCTTTCTCGATCGCTTCGCAAACCACGTTTTTTGAAAAGTCATTGTATGTGTAAAGGCTTAAAGCGAAGTGGTGTAGGGTATTTAGCGGTAAGCGTACAAATAGCATATATAATTTGGATATATGCTTACGTATGGTTTACAGATGTTATTAAACTTAAGAATTAGTATATAAGCAGTATTGCTTTACAATAAAATATCATTTGTATGTTAGCATCCAAGAGCTTTAAATTCGTTATTATTTTGTAGTGGTTTCTGGGAGAAACTATTTTGGCAGTTAGACGTGACCTTGACGGAAATAGTAGGGCATTAATTTAGAAAGATATTCATCTGACATGAAATATTCATAGAATCCTCTACCCTTTACTTACATAAAATGGATTTCCAGCACCATACTCTAATTTGATCCGAAAATAGGCGGTGGAGAATATGGAGAATAAATTGTAGAGTTCTTGCTGAGAGAACGATTGCGAAGGTGGGATATAGAGCGAAAGCATTGTAAATTTTATGTTTAACATTATTTGTATCACTACGGCCTGTATATTTGAGCTTAAATTTATACGTTTGTGAGGTATACTTGATTTTATAAAAACACCAATTCCTTGTGGTGGGATAGGATTATAAGAGCTTCTATAATGGGTCTCTTGAAGCGAGATAAAGGTTGGATTGAAATCACTTACGAGTGTACAGACTTCATCAAAATTATTAAGAAGTCCCTTAATGTTCCATTGAGGAATTTTAAAAACTTTATTTAATTGTAGTGACATGGAAACGGAGTGGAAATTAGGTTAAGTTGACATGTCAGCGTATCCGTCGAAAATGTCACTATAAGAATTTTGCGTGTATAATTTGTTTTTACCAGCAGAATAATCTGTACTTCCTGTAGCGGAACGATCATTTCCGTCGTCATTTAATTTGGTGAATTTATAGACTTCAGTCACTTCTTGACTGTCCATTTCGCGAACAATTTCATCTTCCCGCACATGCTTTAAGCATGGAGCATAACCTACGCCTTTAACCGAGTTCAGTTTGTCATGCAGTTTAGCGGACATAGCACATAAATTAGCTAGTGATTTCGATTTTATGAGCTTCTCGGTTGCGCGCAGGTTCCCAGCGAGGACAAGTAAATTCCAATCGCATAGAATCGATATAGAGTCTACATATGCTGTAATGCTACCTAGTGCTTTTTTAATAGCAGCAGATTTGCGAAATTGTTATGGAAGGATCAGTTGGAGAAATCACAACATATTTTTTGTCAGTAGGAGTGATGTTACTGATTGCCAACACCGGAAAGTCGGAATTTTTAATTTTTTTCGTTGGGGGTATACGCCCGCTAATAGATGAAATGTATTTGAGTTTTTATCTGGCGGCCCCGGAGCCATTATTTTGCCTTATAGTTGTCTGTTATTTAGTAAATTGAGAAATAACCATTCACTTGAAAAGGTTTGGGAGCTGCTGAGGATAATGGCAATTGTTTTCAATATTTTATTTTTCTTTTGTGTTTTTTGTTTCTTTTGATTTTTTTTATTATATTTACAGAAAACAAAAGCAAATATGATATCTGCGATAATTAGTCTTTGCAAAAACCCAGAAAACATACGAGTTAAACACGCAAAAACACCGAAAACAATTAAAAAATTGCAAACGAAAAACAAAACAGCACTACGCAGAACACAAGTCGATGTCAACTGAGATTTAAAAGTTATTAGAAGGAAACTCTTAAAATTCACTAACAGCTTCTGAAACTATCAGCATTAATTTCAGTTACTTTTTTGTTAATTATGATTAGTCAACATTTTAACTTTCTTTGCGGAACACTTTATTATTGAGTGTTTTTATTGGTGAGCAAACAGTACCATCAGATTTGATTATATCACCTGCATTGCTGTTGTTCTTGTTAGGTTTTATGGCATTTTCTAATATTCTTCCATCCGAAGAAACTTTTTTGGGTGTACTACTATGATTATCTTGTCTTGTTCATTTTCATTTTCTTGTTTTTCCAAAAGTCTGAATTCTTCCTGCCTAATATTTGTATCTGGTCTTTCCACAAATTAATTTTAACAGAGAATCTATCGATTACTGACTAATTAGTTTTAACAGAGATTCCATAGATATTGACAAAGAACCCTGAAAATGGATGCATTTTGGCGGGTAACCCTAGACTTTTAACAGACAGCTATGAACAGATGAATAAAGTTCTTCTACTTCTTCTTTACAAAGGTTTATTATTGATTGAAATAAAGACTACAAACATTTGATTCTATTACAGATTTTCCTGCTTTAATACTACCAAATATTGGGAGTCTGACACATGACGTCATAGATATTGTAGATAATTTAATATTCGCTATTCCAGCTGTTTACTTGTTAATTTTTTCCGTTTTTTGTTCTCTATCAGTATGAATTTGTTGCTTACATGATGACTCTGAATTGTTACCAGTTTTTGTAGAATTACATGAGTCGGAGGTTGTGCAAGGTTTGCTGTGCCAATGTGAAGAGGAATCATCTGATGTTGGTTTGAAAAATTCTAAACAAAAGTCAACAATTTTCCAAAAACAGTGATTAAAAGAAAGAACGCAATGGAAAATGTAATTTTTATGCATCAGACTTCATATTCCGCTAATACCTTTTTGCATTTTCTATGTTTATTTCTCTACAATATTTTTTTAAGTTTAGAATAGTATTTGTCTAAAACTCTGAACGTTTTGTCAAAACAAGCAAAGCGAATCAAAAATCTGTCGTGAACACATTTCAACTACACCGGATTAAGTCGTCAGAGGGGACACTTTGTAAACCTACTTGTTCATGCATTTCGTTCAATATGTCCTTGAATCTAAAGACTCAACAGAAACTGCATTTAAAAGCTTTGACAAAATGCAAACCGGACGACTTAATAACATTATGCAAAGCAGCCTTCGATTATTTAGCCAATGGATCGGAACAACAGGTAGCAATTAAAACGAAAATTAAAAAATGTAACAAATATCAATTTATTTATTATGGACATTTTTCAATTTTTTCTATTACTGCTCAGATAGCGGTATATCAATTGATTGCAGCTAATTATAATCACTTGAATTTAAAAATTGAAGATGTGCAACACAGCGTAGAAGCTCTTATATCACTGCTGATAGAATCTGCTAAAATCGACGATGAAGGTAGAACAGTCGAAAAGCCATTTCAGGAATTGGGATTTTCAGACAAGGCAGTGCAAATTCTAATGCAATTTGTTCACAGCAAACGCAACTTTATTGAGGGTTCTACAAAAACTGCAAATATTAGGGCTTATCGCTTAGTTAATCTCGAGTGGCGCCTAGAAATACGATTGGCTTCACGTGCTCTAATGAAGCAGAGTCAAATATTTGTTACTATGAAATTATATTTACATACGGAACCAAAGAGTGAAAACCGCGATTTATTAGATAATACGTCGGAACAAAACGCTATCATTATACACGAAGATGAAAGACGAAATCGCAAAGACGTTTTAGTGCAAATAGATTTGAATTCTCTGAAGTATATGATACAATCTTTGGAAGAAGCGCTAACGGAGTCTCGAACACGACGTGTACGTAATATTATAGCCGCTATACATTAGAATATCTGTAATGTAAATTCTTTAGTTCTTTGTAAAGATTAATCTACAAGATTGCAACCAAAATTATTTACAAAAATCACCACAGCGCAAACAATCGCATGTGGGCTTAAAAGACTTGAATCTCTCTTGGCTTTGCAAACAAAACTCTTTTCTGACCCAAATGTCCAACGTAGCAAACCTAAAATAGAATATTAAAAACGTGCTACATAACTGATATACGTCTGTTAAATACATTTCCTTTTATATACAATATAAAAAATTATTATATTCCAATCCACTATTTCACCAATTTTATTAATGTTACTATAGAAAAATATGGCTTCGTTCATTCTTTGTTGGTTAACATTTCCTTAGCAGCTGTTTTTAAAAGTTCTTTTTTCTTTTGTCTATTCTCATGTTTCTGCTCCAAAGTTTTTTTCAAACCCTTAACACGTCTTGTTTGTATCTTATCCAAATTTTGTTTTCCTAAATGTATTCGACCATGCGTGTTGCCTAACTCGTCGTGTGAGATATTTTTCTTTTTAGTGACCTTCAACTCTTTAGGTTGTTTGCGAGACGTTTTGTAAAAATCCTCGGAAGCGATTTTACTACGTCGTATGGAAAAATCGGCAGAAGGTCCTATTTCCATTAGTTCAATGCGTGGTGTTCTCTGACCTGACTTTTTCAGTAAAATCTTATACGAACGCATCAAAATTGTCATATCCTCTGTACAAGTGAAGCTTAAAACATGTTCTATACCCTGTAATCGTATTGCTTCAATCTTATCCTTTTGAAAAGTATCAGTCAGAAGATTACGCAGACGTCTCAACTCGTCGGTTTGCGACCATTTCGGTCCATTAAAAACTAAGCAGGGTTTTACGCAAGTGCCAATTTTTTCAATTTTAAAATATGATAAAGCCTTGTATTGCTTAATCCCTAATTCGACCATATCCAGTATTTCGTTCTCAAATATACGGCCCAAGACGAGATTGTCAGGCCTCTTTTTAGAAGTTGAGCCAAAAGCAAAGAGAGCGCAATCGTTTTTCTGGACTAAACTGTAAAAAGCGAAATATATAGTCATAAAGAAATCATCAATACAAATAAACTTACAATTCCAGTGAAGATGGATCTTCAAAAGGCGATATGTCATTACTTCGATTTAAAACTCTCACCAAAGGCTTTCTTAATTGCTGCAAATCTTTCATATAAAGTTTTACATTTCCGCCACATTTACGGCCTTCTAGAAGCAGCATAACGCGGGCATTCTCGACAAGCTGAGATTCCCTTGCCAACAGCACTTGTTTGCCTTTGCGAGTTTTTGGTTTCCTGCGTTAAATAATCATCATTTTTCTTCCTTTTTTCTAAACAAAACGAACTGATTTTGTTACCTTATTCTCAGTAAAGACATAATAATGTTTTTTCTATATAATGATCAACAAATCAATATCAATTCGCACGTGCCGTGCTTACAACAATGTTATTCTTTAACTTTATTGCCTTAATGCTAACCTAGTTACTTAAATACTAACGTAGACAATACGCTACGCTATCGTATTGGGACGTAAATGTCATTTGGTAATATTTTGACAACTAACATGTATAAAAGTTTCATGAAAGCCGATATGGTATTTATTTGAAATTGGTAGTGGTTTTATTGAATGCCTGAAAGCTAGCTTTCGTTCGCGAGAAAACCGATAGTTGATGTACGTTTTTTTGGAATCACGTAACACTTTCGTATCATTTTCGTTGCTAACATTCATTTGTATACGAAAAAGCAGAAAAAGAAGCAAATTTTTTGCTGTGGTGGTCAAAGCGTGAAATATAACAATTGGTTCTCTCTTCAATGAAGAAACAAACAAACCAATTGTTAAGGTAGTGACTCGTTTTTAGCTAAGTGAGTGTGTGGACCATGAGCCATATTGACAAGTGTAAACAATCATATACGCTTACTCTCAGATGTTGGCAACTTTTATACGCTTACTCTCATATGTTAGCAATTTTTGGATTCGCATGTTCGCTGAAAAGAGAGAAAGTTATTTAAGTTAGCTTTTAGTGAATTTCTTAGATTGGCAAAACTAACAATAGTGTTATTTATTTATTTATTCCACTTATACAAGAAATCAACTAAAACAAAATGGCAGTCGAGTTCAATTGACTCTTAAGTAAATCTTAAAATTAATTTATAATAAAACTTAGTATAAGTACAATAAAACAAATAAGGAGGAAAAAAAAAGAAAGAAAAAAAAAAAAAAGCATGTACACAATTAGCATAGAGCCACACCCACAACCGATACAGGACCAAATTGCAAGTGAACCCCTAAGCCATCGCAAACATGCATAAGCTTGGCAACCGATAATTGTTAACAACAAATTAATTTTCGACTAATAATGACATATGTAAGGTTAAGTCAGTTTAAATATGACATAGGTAAATCGCGCTTATTAAGCAATATTGCTTTAATGGACTTTAAAGAGTCCGTTAATGAGAATAGATGATAGACATCATTTAGGTTCTTGCAAACAACTCTGAGCGGGTTAAACAGTTCAAAATTATATTTGCATTGACTAAGCTTTATAAACATAAAGTGCCTAGAGAAACGGTTAGGGACATTAAAGCCTATCTCACGAAGTAATGCGGGCGAGTCAATTGCACCATTTATTAATTTGATTAAGAAGGAAACCCCAAGAACAAATCTACGTTTCTCGAGTGACGGTAAGGATAACAGAAGCAACCTATTTTCATAGGGTGGAAGAGGGGAAATCGGGTCCCAACCCAAATTCCTAAGGGCAAACAGCAAGAATTGCTTTTGTATAGATTCAATTGAATCTACGTAGCACCTATATGAAGGACACCACACAACGGAGGCATACTCAAGTATAGGTCTAACCAAACACGTGTAAAGCCTTTTCGTAATATAAGGATCATCAAGCTCTTTGGACCACCTCTTTATAAAACCAAGCGCGGACCTAGCTTTGCTTAACGAGGACTCAATATGCAAATTGAAACGTAACCTATAATCGAATAGAACGCCTAAATCTATGAACGAATCGACGTCTTCCAACCTGTGCGAATCAATGAAGTATTGAGTACTGAACGACTTCCTTCTCAAGAAAGAAAGCTTCTTACATTTATTTAGATTTAGTTTCAGAAGATTGAGAGAGCACCATGCAACCAAATTGTTCAAATCACTTTGAAGATGATGTGATTGCGATTCTACGGAAAAGGAAGAAAACAGTTTCACATCATCAGCATACATTAAAATATCACTGAATTTAATCACGGAAGGCAAATCATTGATGTATAAATTAAATAAAATAGGTCCCAAGTGGCTACCTTGGGATACGCCAGAAGTCACGGGGAATTCATCCGAGGTAATGAGGTTAAACAAAACCTTGAATGATCTACCATACAGATAAGAGCTTAACCATTCCACTAAGAAGAGAGGAAAGCCAGAGGTCTGCAGTTTAAATCTAAGAAGTCTATGATTAACCATATCAAACGCTTTGCTAAAGTCAGTGTAAATGACATCAGTGCGAGAACCACTAGAAAAAGCCTTGAAAACATGAGAAGTAAACTCCAACAGATTGGTCACCGTAGATCTTCCCTTTCGAAAACCATGCTGGAAAGGAGAAATATACAATTTCATGGAAAAGGCTATATGCTGAGCCACAATTCGCTCGAACAGTTTAGGTAAGACACTCAACTTGGCAATGCCTCTGTAGTTCTCTACAAGTTGCGTACTACCACTTTTGTGAATAGGAATAAGGAAAGAAGTCTTCCAACACAAAGGGAAAACACCTAAATTCAAAGACTTATTAAAAATCTTTGAGATAACATCACAAAGCTCGCCAGCACAAGATATAAGTACACATGACGGGATCCCATCAGGTCCAGGCGAACAATTATATTTCAGAGAGCTCAATCCTTCAAAAACGTCATTTTCAGATATAACAAAGTTAGGAATTGAAATCGAATTAGAAATCGGATATGGATAATTTACCGATAAATCAAAATTGGCAGTTGAAAAGTTCTGTCGGAAGTATTCCGCAAAGAGATTTGAGGTTTCAAAATCATCCGCGGACTCGGAGCCATTAAAAGACACAAACGACGGATTTATGGAGATTTTTCTTTTGGAATTAACGAACTTGAAAAAGTATTTAGGGTTAGCAAACAAGGAGGATTTAACAAACTGAAGGTAACTGCAGTAGTATTGGCGGTTGAGGGAATTAAATTTATGCCTTGGAACAGAGTAAGCGAAATAGTCGAGAGAAGAACCACTTTTCGAAAATTTTTTGAAAAGCTTGTTTTTCTTATTCTTGTAGTATTTAATTGTTTTATTAAAACACGGGGGACCCTTGCTTCAAGGACGGGACTGCTTGATCGGAACGGATGCAGAAATAGCTTGATTTAATATATTGTAGAACGACGACAGTAAGCTATCAATGCTTCCCTCTGAGAAATCGAGCACAAAATGAGAAAGATGTGATTTTAGTATGGAAACATTGATTTTATGGAAATCATAAAGTTAATATGAAAAATTTGAATTTTGAACGTTATAGAAGTTCAACGAACCAACATACTTGTAATGAAAGGAAACACCCAATGCTGGATGATATGGATCCTCAGGTAAACTAAACGGAAGACAACGATTAACGCAAACCTCAGGAAAATTTGCAAAGCAGAGATCGAGAAATCTCCCATTACAATTAGGGGTACCATTGTATTGAACTAAATTATTATCAAATAATTCATTGAAGAACACAACGGCTTTATCAGATGTTGAGGAAGGGATCAAACAGCCCACGCAAGGACTATATCGGTAGGTTTAGATTGCTTGGCCACTTCACAAATGAGGGCGGCATGTTTCTTATATACAGAGATATCCGAATTTGGGGGAATATAGGAGCAGGTCACATATAAGTGTTTCTTAGGAAATTTCACTCGAATGGCGATAAATTCAACATCGGGAGTAGTTGGAAATTCCCACGAATAGGTGGGGAGTGCCGTAGAAATAGCAATTAAAACACCACCACCATTGCGATACAAACAATCGTTTCTGAAAACTTGAAACGAATTATGGAAAAGTTCCGACGAATATAGACCCGGCTTCAACCATGTTTTGGTGAATTTAGGAAGGTAGAACGAATTTTTGAATTTAGGCCCCTAACATTTTGATAAATGAGAGAAAATGAGGCTGAAGAAATATTTAGTTTTTTGAAGGAGAAAGAGCTACTGCATTCGCATTACGGGATCGGTCCCGAGGGATAAATTCCTTAATTAATGATCCAACCGGCCACAAAGTTTTATTTAAAATCAAATCAATATTTTCGGTCGGAACTAGAATTTTAAAAGATGAGATAGCTCTAGATAGAGAAGGACCCAGTTTGAAAATACTAACTCGCTTTAAATTGACAGAAGGGGCTTTCGCAGCCAGATAACCCCTTATGTTTTCAACAGATGTATCTGGTGCCAGTCTTGACACAAATATGGCCTTTCTGGGAGGAACTGCCTTCAAGCATATGTCATCAGTACTGGGAGCAGCAGGGTTAACGGATGGGGAGTTATGAGTTGGGGAAAATATAGAGGGGGTAACCACACTTGCACGAGCAGCTTGTGCGACCTGCTCAGTTTGGCCACCAGCATTTACACTCGAACAGCGAGGAGGAGAGGACTATTTACTATTACCCTTATTAGTTTTGGGCAATGACGCCTGAGAAGATTGAGTGACATCTATGGGAGGAGATACCCTTGCCAATTCAGCATAGCTCAAGCCAGAAGGACTTCTCGGCCTATTTGTAACATTTATGTTACCAACCAACTCAGCCGTAGCAGAAACACTAACATTATTTGTAGCCTTTAGGGAATCGCTAACTTGCACCAACGAAACGGACTTAGGAGGTGACGAACCACACGCTACGCTACGCGTTGAGACTTTGTTAGCTGGAGAGGAAGATGACTGCACAATATACCGACATTCATCAAACCTAGTCTTGATTAATTCAAACTTCTCCCACAAAGTGCCGAGATTTTTGCTCAAATCTGAGAAACAATTTCTCGTCTCCGTGAAGAGTTTGTAGAAATCAATGTCCCGCTTTCTACAGTCAGGACATGACCATCGTAAACCTTTAGAAGGGTCAAGGACTGCATCAGCAGCACGGCCGGTAATACCAGCATATTTTGCATGTCCAAAACGATCACACAACCAACAAGAAATGAATCGTTCAGATTCAGGGCCGCTTTTCGCACGACATGGAGTAAGTAAACAATCCATGTCCATTGAAAACAAAAAAGTAGCTTATGAAGGAAAAAAAAAATGATTTTTTTTCACGGCACAAATTTTCAGGAAAATTAAAGCAAATTTTTCACTTCCCTGCCCACTGTAAATATACAGCGAAAACTAACGAAAACTGTAAACACAGATTAACGGGCAAAAAGAGAGACTTTTACTAAGAGCTCAATTGTTGCTTACAATAAACCAAAATCATTTTTTCACATAAATGTTTAATAAATTCATATACATTAAATTCACACTTTATTCTTTTAGAGAATTTTTTAAATTTAAACAGGAATAAAGCAAAAAAGCTAAGAAATACACTAAAAAAATTGAAATATTTGTTGACAGAATAAAAACGCGACTACAAGACGCACGCAGAGTTGCCAAACTTCAACTGTTATTTCTGAAATGTAAACGTTTTCCTGTTTGCGTGTGTTTGGCGCTGATGATAATCTGACAAGTTATATGCATTTTTCCTTATTCCTTATGCTGTCGTAACCACATTTAAAAAATATTAACATGAAAATATTAGTTCTAATGACGATTACGATTAAAACGAAGATTTACCCTAATGGACAGAAAAAGATCGCTAACAAAGTGTACTCAGATAATCATTTCGTTGCTTTAAATGATATTCCTTTTTTTTCTATATATATACAAGTAAGGCACTAATCATGTATCATTTAGCTGTCATTTGAAAAGTGTACTTTGAGAAACACTTGGTCTTGGTAAGGCTTTCGTCAATCGAAATTAATTTCGGAAAATTAAAAGGAAAATTTGACGTCTGCTTGTTTATAATGATACAATCAATAAGAAAAACATACAAACGTAACAGTATGTAAAATTTTTAATGTAATAAAGTGAAGTGAAATAATTTCATATCTTATCACACTTTCAAATTTTTATTTCTTAGAAAAACTTTGAATTGTAAAATCGAACTTTGAATAATATATTAATACATTAATATATAAATTTACCTATCAAGAATGTATAATATTTTAAAATTAATTGCAACTCAATCCCAATTTTGTATTACATAAATAAAAGCCAAGATTTTTGTTTCACACAACATCTTAAAGAGGATTTATTCTTTATATCATTTATCACAATACAATTCAGTTCGAAAATATAGGAGATATGCCGGTTATTATTTGCTGACTTAGTCGCACCAACTGGAAGCGAACTATAGACATAGCCGTCAAAATAAGTTTCCTTGATCCAGGAAATTAAAAGTTTGCTTCCATAATTTTCACGAGGTCGCAAGGTTACGTTTTCGTTTTTCAAGTGTTTTGCATCCCGTATGCGATAGAAGAAGTTAAGTTAAAGAATGGTGTAAGCCTATAGAGGAGCCAGCATTTCAAGCAATTGGCAACGGGTCTATCACGGTACCTCAAAAGTGTGGAAAACCGTAATAAGAACTCTACGTATCCATTACCAACAGTTCGTGACGATATTGAAATGAAAGAAGCCCAAGAATCCTTCAATAGTGTTCCCATAAATGAGCCTTTGTTTTATTGAGTATTATAAGTGAAAAGTTCTACGTTTTGTACTTATCTATAATCCAATTCAATTATTGTACCATTTCATTATTATATGCTATTATTATATAATTCAAATGTTCTGTTAATTCGTTCTTCTATAATGGCCGAATTTCACATACGCATCATTATGCTTTTCGCATTCTATTCTCCAAGTTCTTTCACCTGATACCCACACCGCCGGTATTATTAAGAAAAAATTAATCGCGGCATCTACCATATTCATTTTAGAATTAACCCACTTTTAGACAGACAAAATAGTTTTAAACATCCTATCTTGTTTACCTTATAATAAGTAAGCGTAAATCCTCAAAAAAGTGAAAAAAACTAAAATTTATGAACTTGTGACGTTGCGTGGGCATGGCGGATTTTGTCCATTTAATCTATTCTTAGAGAATAAATGCCGAAAAGAAACTTAAATTCAACTTCTCATTATATTGCAGGTTTGGTATTGATAGAGCAAAAAAAAAACACTTCCAATTCTTCCTTGAAATGGTAGAAGATTTAGTGTCAAGAGTTCGCAGTCTCGAAACGATCTATGAATTTCACTTCAATAGGTTGGATAAAACCACTTGTAAGGGATTCCCACTAACATTCGGATTACGTTAATTTACTCTCAAATATTTTTGTATAGCTCACGAAAAATATTTCTTGACGATACTAAAGGTATTTCTGATCAATGATTATGATTATTTGATGGATAAAAAAAACATATTTTAATACATGTTTGCCTATAAAATTTTTTTGTCATTGTTCGACCTCATCTAAATGTAAGAGCTTTCTAACCGAAACTGAACGACTTTCAATACAATCTAAACGTCATAAAACTGTAGCTGCGACAAGTTTTTTTACTATGTGTTTTTTCGCAGAAGAGAACGGAAGTGTTTTTCTTAATAGTACTAACAGCACTCTTTTGTTTCGATTACTTTTTCTAAATAGGAACTGGACGAATTTTAACAGAATCTGAACGTATTTTGACAGGGATAGAATTTCAACGACTTTTAACAGTAACTGGTTCTTCTTCTTCTTCATTTCGTGACAAATGTTGAACGCGAGCTCGCACTGTTACCATATTTCAACGGCATCTCCAATCCCAACATACGGTATTTTTTTTAACATGTAAAAAGAAAACCAGCTAATGGTTTTTAAATAAAAGAGTCTTGAAGTGAAAACCTGCAAGAGTTAAGAAAATACTAAAAAAAGGGGAAAAAAAATAAAAAAAAAGATGAAAAAACTACATACCAAAAAATAATTTAAAAAAATTTTCTGAATAGAGGGCAGAACAACTTTTTGCGGGGATTGTTAACAAAATAGTTTAGTAAATACATAAAAACGAAGATAAATTTATCTGCCTACGTTGACAGCCTCGTCAGCCATTGCTACTTCGTCGGTTGGCGCTTTACTGATTTTTTTTTTCCCTGAATACCATAAAAATGAAACACCACAAGCTATGTTGACCGCAAATGTAAACAAAGCCAGGTAAACACCGTAACCGTAACTAAAAAAAGTAAAATTAAGTTTTAAAAATTTGTTAAATATTAAATTCGTGAAACAATTTCTTTTCTTTTAAATTTAACCTCACGAAAAAAAGGTGGAAGAAGATAGCTTCATTTTTCACGTTACCGCCGGAAGGTTAGTGGAATATTTAAATATTCAAATCTGCAGTTAGTTGTATATTAGCGGCACTAACATCAGGTATGTTTGGAGTCATATTAATTTATATGATATTATATTCGCCATTGCTTTTTAGACTTCTTTTTGCTTTTTTGTGGATAAAGCTAAACATGAATGCATGTATATGTGATGCAAAACGGAATCCTTAATTTATAGGATGTTTTATTATTTTTACAGATGTATGCACATGGAAACTCGGCGGAAGATCCAATGTGTCGTCTATATCGATTGACAAAAGCGGGATCTATTATGAATGACAAAAGTTTGAGGAAGTGCCTTTCAAATAATTATGTAATTATTCACGCGAGCTGTCGCGGGCCTTATATGAATAATCTTAACATTTCGGCTTTAGCTATCACGGCCACATTTTTTTAATGTGTTTTATATATTTTCTGTGTTAACAATTATTACTGTTTATTATCTGGACATACAAGCCACGAATTTATTGGCTTGGTCCATCTTAACAAAACAACCAAAAAAAAAAAAGAAATTCGTGGTTTGTAGAGCCGTCTTCAACTTCTTGAGGAGGAAGTATATTAATTTTCCGAAATTTGGATTCGTATCCTCCAATATACGAACTCTCATGAAAAGTATGTCCTTGCATGAAAGGAATGTGAACTTTTTGGTGTATTATTACAAAAACTAGCCAATAACTGTGCAAAACGAAGTGATGTAGGGTATCTAATGTTCGACTCTAATGTTCTTATTGGTTTTCGTATAAACTACCATGCCAATAGCGTTCGTCTTTGCATCGAAACCTCAATGTACTAAATATTTTGAAACTTGCGAACTATACGTCGGGGGGGGACAGCGGGGACAGACAGACAGATGATTAGAAAATGATTATCATTCGGGTGGTATAATAGAAAGCGGTTGCGTGTTCGTTTGTATTCAATCATTTCCTTTGAATGACAAAGTGGATTGAACGACGGGGCGCAATACTCGATGAAAACCTGTACAACAAAAATAAGAATGAATGTGAAGTTATTGATAGGTAACCGCAGGACCACGTCAATGTATGTTTTGGTTATATGTAACTCTCTGTAACTAAAAATAATAACGTCACAAAATATGCCATCATTGTCTTGATTTTTGGTATTCGTGTTATATAGTGGCACGAAATGCTTTTGAGGTTAAAAATTTAGAAAAAAAAAAAAAAAAATTCGTTGAATTCTAATTGAGCAAGGAATTCCAGATAACAGAAGTATCCTTTGGCCTAATTAATTTAGTATATTATTATAATTTATAATAATGAAACCATGTAAATGTGACGTAAAATTACAAAAATAGTGACTGGAGGTGCGCCCCTCCGGGGTTGTTCGCCGCTCTAGTTGATGATGGCGCAGAGCCTGTTGCCTGGGCAGAGCAGGATGCTGTTGTTGGTGATACGGCTTTCCGACATCGGAGTGTCGGATCGTTGGCCGTTGATCCCATCAACTCTCGTATACCTCTGGCTTTCCGACGTTGAGGTGCCGAACCGTTGGCCAGAGAGGTACGGGTTGTGTCAACGTTGGCCACCATGGGCTCGCAATGGGTTGACAGACCCTCGGCTGTGGGATTTTTATTGTTGCGTTGAATTTCTAACCTGAATCTGTTGCGGCAGTGGCCTCGATAACCCTTTTGTGCTAACGACGAGAGCCACCTGTGCCGTTGATATTTCGATGTAGTTTTTGTTTAGTTCGTTGTAGCTGTTGTCATTACTTATATAGGTGGGTGTTGTCTCGATATCAGGGTTGGTGTCTCTTCAGTGCCGATGCAATTTGCTGTATCTTAGTAATTATAGACGTAGTGTTGTCGTAGTAGTTGAGGTTAACTCTAACGATATTGCGGTTATGATAGTTGTTGTCGTTGGTGTTTTTGATGTCAATGTTGGTGCTGTTGCTGTGACGCTATTGTTACAGGCGATATGCTGCTCGTTTGTCGTGGCTGTAGCTGATGTTATTTATGTAGGTGGGTTGCTGCCACAGTGCCGACGAGTACGTCGGCGGCCGGACCGTTCGGCCGCCTACTATCCCGGCAGAAGACGATCGCCATTGCTAGAGGCATACTTGGCGTCGGATGGCCTGCTCCATTAGATGAGCAGCCGTTAAAGTTGTTGTTTATATTTTGCTGTGCATACCTGTGCTTTGCTGTGTGGGCATCACGCAAGTATTTAGGCTGGTAGCGATTATCGTAGTTGTCGTTGTTCTTGTTGTTGAATTCATTGTAGTTGTTGTGATGCTATTGTTATGATTGTTATATTTTGGGGTACCGACCTCTATTGGTACTTACTGTTGTTGTGGATGCTGCTGCTGTTGTGGTGTTTCCCGTGATGTTGTTATGCTGATTTACTGTTGAGGCAAACTTGATTGTTTTTCCAAGATGAGTGCCTCAGGCGTGGCATTTGCCTTTTGTTGACGGAGAGTCGTATCAGCACCCATATACGTTTGGGTTTCCGACCTCGAAATGTCAGAGCGTTGACCAGTAGGTACGTGTCCTGTGTCAACATTGGCTGCTATAGCGCTCGTATTATGTTGATCTGAACCTGGCGGTGAGTGCAGCCTTGTAATGGGCGTTGCGTCTTCGAAATCTACTTGTTTGTTTTTCGGGCATGCGTGACTGAACTCGTAGGCTGTTAGGAACCTCGCCGTTACCAGGTTGACTTGTTCGCAGTGGCTGGTTTCGTAGGCGGCTGTGAACTCCGAGCCTACCAGGTGTGGGTTGTAGTAAGAGGCATGGCGCCGTTGAATTCCCGGAGGACTATTGCTTGTAGGCTCGGATGCTGCATTTGTATCCTTGCGGGCTTCATTGCATGGAAGGCGTAGATTTGGAGGGGTTTGAGGACTCTGCTTCGCATCGCTACGTAGTGGCGTCTTTAAAATTTCCCTGCTGCGAGGTGGATTGGCGCTATTCACATTCAGCGCACAAGAAGAGCATTGCGTTGGTAAACCGTAGGTCTCGTTTCTGTGGGTTGTTGTAAGATGATTCCGTTGACTTGGCTGGGTACTAATTGGCTTGGGTTTAACCACGGATCTATCTTGCGGTGTTTCGCTCGAGGAGGCAGGTACGTATCTTTGTTGGCAGCATTTAGTGGATCTTACGCTTCGTCGGCCGCACTTCCGGCAGTGTAAGACCTGTGAGTTCGGACAATCAAACTGGTGGTCCCTGCTCTGGGCACATCGTCGGCATGCCGTGGTCGTTTTTATTTGCTTCTTTTGCGGCATTGGGTCCGGTGCCCACCTTCTTTTGTTTGATAGACCGCATCGTCGAGCGACTGGCTGAAATTCTCTGTATGTCTCAGGGGGGCTTCACGTGGCATGTTGCTCGTTGGAATCGCCTCAAAATTGCTGGCGAGTTCCATGAGTTCGTCGAGATTGGTGAAATCTCGGCGCCGTACGTACCACATGTACTCAGGTTGCGCATTCGTAGAGATGCGTTCCAACTTCTGCTCTTCTCTTATTGTGGTATGGCGCATCAGGTCTTGCAAGGCCAACACATGGTCGTGAGATTTCTTCTTCGTTCGCTGGGTGCGTCGACTAATGTCATTTTCTTCCGGAAGAAGTAACGCGGTGGCAAGAAGAATTTTAGAAAGTCGGCCTTGAACTTCTCCCAGGTCACCCACCGTTCGTTGTTGTTACGGTACCACATTAAGGCCCGGCCACGTAGCATCATCACCATGGTGGCTGGCAAACGGTCTTTGTCGATGCTGTATGCCTCCGCTAGCTCTTCGATCCGTTCGGTGAAGGCAAGTGGCCCACTATGGCCGGTTAAGTTGAGCCCCAATCTGCTGAATACTTTCATGACGGGACTCGTCATCCGCTGCCGGAAAAACTCGGTGTGCTCCGCCAATCGCGATAGTCGAAACAATATTCGGTCAACCTTGAAGCCATGATGGCGATGGGGCAGATGCCGTATGGAGTGTATTAATACGCCAGCTTAACTAAAGTTAGTAGCACAAATAATTACCCGAGGATCAGGACTGCCCTGGACGCTCTGATATTCTTTTTTTTTTTCTTGAAAGTTTTCTTGTCTCTTTCGGTTTTTTCTGTTTATTGTCTTCTTCTCTTTATTTATTTTGTTTCCTTTTTGTTATATTTTTTTTTTCTTTTAATATATCTTCGCTACCCCGTACAAATTTCTATAGGGTTAGTAGCTTAGGTCTATATATTTTCTTCTTTTGGCAATTTCTCTTTGTTTTTTTTTATTCGTTATGCGTACCTTAAACTGTAAGTGCAAGGGTGTATGTATAGGTGTAATACTATTAATTAATTTAATTAATTAATAATATTAGAATTACTCATTTCGCAACGGTTACAGAAAGTGTCGTTAAGATGAGAAAGATGAACAAAATTGAACCACTATTATTTTTTCTCTTCTTTTAATTATAGACTACCTTCAAACCTTTTGTGTGGTTATTTGATAGGTATAGGTATTGCCTTCCTTATGCTTGTTCTTCTTTCTCCCTCTTTTATGAAGCACTATCGATCTGATAGCGGGTATAAGAGACAACCCTAATCACACCGTTTTTCTTTTATTTCTAAATGTAAGTTTATTTTCTTCTAAATATACGTTATATAAGAAAAAAATCTTGAACTTAAAAAAGATGTTTAGTTTGAATGTTCAGTTTTTTGGCGATTCTCAGAGTGAAACTTACTTTCGTGTACATTTCTTTTACATTACCGGACAACTGCTTTTCTTCAAGGATATTTGTCCTTAACTTGCAAGAAGTAGTTCCAAACCAGATTTTTCTTTGCTTTAAAGTTATGACAGAGCTAATCTGATACTCAGAAGAGATTATAAAATGTTGCTACGCGTTTTTTCTTCTTTATTTGTGATTTCTCTCTCTATCTCTTGTTTCTTCATTTAGTTTACATATGCATTTTACAAATCTTTCTCTCGTTTTTCGAAATGGTGGTACCCACAGAGCCGAAATGTTCAATGTGGACGCTTGTCGGTATCTTGTCCCAAAACCCAAGACACACTAATGTGTGCTTTAAAGGTTGTGCAATAATTTTAATACGGAATGTTATGAAAATTTCGCCTTCCTTTTTTTACCGAGGTCCCTAGTATATTGGGCTTTAACCACAAATTAAATAATTCGCGAAAATCCGCGACCGACCCGCACAAGGTAAACGCGTTAACTAGGGTCGTTGGTCATCAAATTTGCGTTCTTCTAAACGGAAACTGTTGCTACGGATTTGGCTGGTTTGCGCTGTGCACAACGTAATTATGTTTCGCTGTTGCGTTGATAGCAGCTGTTAAATTGCGCAGGGCTTATATATGAGAAATTTTGTTTTTTTTTTTCCTCTGAG